AGAGAGAGAGAGAGAGAGAGAGAGGGAGAGAGAGAGAGAGAGAGAGAGAGCGAGGGAAAGCGGGAAGGCGAGAGAAGTAACTATATTAGAAGGAATATGTGCATCCGTGCCTGGGTGTGTGCCGTACGTGCGTGTGACTGCGCATGCGTGTGCACATCTCCGTCTGCATTCCGCCCTCCCCCGTCCCTTCCTCCTTTCTCTCCTCTTTCCTTCCTCCTCCTCTCTCACTTCCTTCCCCTCAGTATTTCCCTCCCCCTCTCGCGGATAGTAAGGAATAAGTGATTACTTTCATTCACTGTTAATGTTACTGCTTGACACAGCAGATGAAAGGTCAGCGTAAAGAATCTTTATTGTTAAATCTTTATTGCATGTAATTCAACTACAAATACATGTACTGAAGACGTCTTTTTCATGAAGAAAAATCTGATAAATGCAATAGTGTTGAGCAGTTAAAATAATAAAATTTCTGAGTGATACAGTAGATTGTGTGTTACCAGAGGTGATACTGAGTTCTGAGTGATACATGTTACATCAAAACTTTACATATTGTTATAGGACTGTGACATGAATGACAAAATAAAACAACTATTGTGTACCGCGTCGGTAATCGGCGATCTATAGCGGCTGTTTAATCTGCTGTCGGCACTCGTGTAATACAACTATTTGTACTTTATATATGAATCTAACGTATATATGATGACTCTAAAAAGCTAAAACTACTTGTTACAGATTGTCATTGAAAAAAACATGTCCTTGAAATGTCCTTGAAAAAATAATTCACCCTTTTATGGAAACTCTGAAAGGGGTCCATGACTGAAAGGGGTCCATGACACTAGCTTAAAGTGTGAATGAATGAGCTTATACTATAAAAACGTGAATACACAATCTGAATGAATTCCAAGTCGTGAGTGAACACCGAGAACGCGTGAAATCCTACAAACTTAGTTACGCGTGAAATAAATACACTTTTATAGGTGTTAATGATTAATTAATCAATTATTATCAAAGTTAATTATTAACATGATGTTTTGCACTTACTCAATAGCCAATATATTATATCAAAAAACCAAAGCCAAGTGTTAATTTGATCACTACTTTAATTGAAACAGTTGCTATGATCTATGAATCTAAGATGTTTCCCAGAGTGCAGCTGCATGGTGAGATGCCAACAACAGAGAGTCGACAACAGAGAGGTTTACACACACAGTACCGTAGCTATATATATAAATCTCTACACGAACATGATTATCACAAGAACCACTCGCCGAGTAAGGGAGAGAGAGAGAGTGGCTTGGCTAGGTGAGATCTATGGTCACAGACAATATAAGCTCATATATACTCAGTGCGCAGCTGATCTTACTATCATCATCATCATCGTCATCATCATCATCATCATCATCATCATCATCATCATCATCATCATCATCATCATCATGCGACTTATATCATACATAATCACGTCAGATGGGGGCCAGCTTTCATTATGCGTGGCCGCCATCACAATCGGTGCTTGCTGCTTGGCGGTACCGGTTGCTTCGACATAACAATGTCAATCATCCCGCCATATAATAATGGCGTCTTTATCATAAACGCAGCCATGCAGCTCTCACCTCACAAAGGTCACGTGTAGGTTGCACCGTGTGTTACGGCCATAGAAATAAGAGAGGTAGACTCTACATATTTCTATGGTTACGGCGCTCGCTCACCCTACTGTAACACCGCGCGTGAGATTTGTCTGACATGCATTTACTGAAAACTCAACCAGTGCGCTCAATTTGAAGAAAAGCACATTTCCGCACTCAAACTGCAACTGCGCCAGCTGCCCACAGTATAGGGAATCGACAACGAAATGAACAGCAGTGCGATAGAATAATCTCACGCAATGCACTCCGCAATAAAAGTAAAATTATTTATAGTATCGATATTGTAATACAGCAATCTAATACATTTATAATCGGTAAATCATAAACATGAAGTGCGGGAACGACAAAATGCAAAATAGGAACGGCGTCAGTGGCATATTGAGGACAATACGCTAGTGTTCTCCCTCGGTACACTTCATAAAACCCATGCACTAGCGCAAACATGTATTTATTTATACATGTTTACATTATGTAATTTGCACACACTGATCACCGAAACAGAACGACAAAAAGCTCGACATGGCTCAATCATCGGGAAAAAGTAAAGAATACAGTGAAGGTAAATTATATTGCAGCCAAACCAGCCGGTTTTTAGTGACAATAAACAATGAACATGCAAGCAAAGAGTTAGAATAAAGATATCTCTATTCTATATCTATGATGCAACCCGCGATTTCCACGTGCTTCCGGAATGCAAACGGTGGAAGAGTAACTAACTTCTATTAATAAAAACATAAACATACATGAAATCATACATAATCCACAAATAAACGAATCTCGTGTGAACACACGGGCCCATCGAACTCGAGTCCACCCCGTCGCTCATGTAAAAACAATTACTTACACGGATGCAACGTTGCTACGCGTAGTTGTCTAGAAGATTGATGAAATCCGTAGCTGGTTTCAATACTACAGCCTCACGGTACCCCCGTGAGACCACCTAATCGATACCGGGTTTGTTCTACTACTAGACAAACACGACACGAGAAAAGAAGGACAGATATAGTACATGCATTCGATACAAGTGTTCATGGAACACATTACAATTGATTATCGGCACGCCTGTTCTGGCAAGAACCTTAATTAAAGTGCACGTAACAATTAAGTACATCTAATTTGACCAAACATGATAAGCCAATACTGATGTTTATATACACACACACATAGGCCTACATATTTATATATATGTCGGTATCTACGTATGAGACATGGAGATATTACAATCGTGTGAATTAAGCGTGACTGGCATCGGTATTATAGTCAGACACGTCCTTATAACCGATGCCGACAACTATTGGATTTTTGAACGCATCACGGCATGCAGACATTTATAATCGTCAAACCTGCGATCGTGGTAATATGTGTGTGTCGCATCGTCGCTGCGGATGCCGCTACTTCAGCGTGGACAAAGTCTACCTCAGCCGACAATCAATTGAACATCGGGCGATTGCCTATACATGTCCCATGTCTAGTCCAATGCGCGTACACCTTGAGCAACGATCAAGCTGGCCTACCTTCCCGTCCTTCCGATATTCGACGCCTACGTCGACAGTATTATAAACACGTATATAGGTCCGAGCACCCTTCATTCTCCCTCTGCTGCCAGTCGACATCATAATCTTTTCAATCAATTAACAACGTCGGGATTCGCGTGCGCACGTACGTAGGTCGCCTCTACACATCCCGTATACATATATATATATATATATATATATATATATAATATATCAAGAGCGTATTATAATTAAACTTCTTAATACGCTCTTGAATATATATATAGTAGGCGCTAGGCCACCGCGCGAATCCTGTGCCACGCGTACAACGCTAGCTACTGTTGAACATGCAACGCAACAAATACACGCAGACGTTTTCAACCCACTCCGTTTCCGCGTAACCTTCGAAACTCCAGCCGAGTAAATCCGTTTGAATAGGAATAGAAGCAGTAGGAATTCGGTCGGCGAGCATTTCCCATTAGAAATATATAATAATTCGAAAATGTTCGGCAAATGCCGCGGTTAAAATGGCTATCGCATGTGCATTAACAACACCAACACACACGCACACGTACACGCACACACGCACACGCACACGCACACACAACCCTTAGGGGGACTATCTATAATACACACCCATCAGTGCGCGTGAACGGTGAACTATAGTATGCTAACGGCGCTATATTACATGAAGCTGCTGGAATGTGCTGCGTATTTCTCTGTGCGCTGAAACAACAATCTATTCGTACTCACGACCCAAACATGGCGCCTGGGTGGTGCAGTCACATGCACGCGTCCGGTGCGATCGTGCGTGGGATAGGACCACAGATCATCTACAATTGTACATGATCTTTGATAGGACCAATAGCTAATAAATACCTTTTATTATTTATTTATTTATTTGGTATTTATTAGCTCTTGATAGGACGTATAGCGCATAAAACGAAGACATAACATTCGCGCTTACGAGTATATATATATAGGATCATCATACGATATGAGGTGAATTACGTCTCGAGCGCTTATATAGTACATTCCCGTGCTCTGTGGCAGTGAAGAGAATCCGTATCTTACCCCGCCATATATACTGCCGCAGAATTTGGCACTGTGCTAAAAACTTCCCCAAATTATATGGATTTCTTTTCTCGGATTCTATGTACTGTGGCAGTTGTATATGTAGATATAATTCTCGTACAGTTGACTTGTTTAAACGGTTCATCGTCAACGAGTACTGCATGCTTATAGCGCTTCTGTATGTACCGTGTCGTCAACATCAATGCAGCTGGGGCATGCAGACGGACGTCCACGCCATAGAAATAATATAGCAGACTCCATATATTTCTATGGTCCACACACACGCACGGCACGAGCACCGCACCGCACGCCACACACACACCAACACACACACACACGACAGCACACACCACACACACACACAACACACACACACACACAGTCACACAGTAGACAGGTCAACAGTAGCACAAGTCACAGCGTCAGACAAGTCACACAGCACACAGTCACACAGTCAGCACACACACACACACCAACACACACACAACACACACACACACACACACACACAACACACAAACACACACACCACACCACACACACACACACACGCAACCCCCCCCCACACACACCCACACACACAGTCACGCACGCGCACGCGCACGCGCGCAGCAGCGCACGACGCACACACAAGCACACACACACACACGCAGCGCAGCCGCGCGGCACGCACGCACGCACACCACACACACACGCACGCACGCACGCACGCACGCACGCACCCACACACACACACACACGCCCACGCATCACAGCACCCACACGCACACGACACGCACACACCCACACACAGCACACACAGCAGCAACAACACGCACACGCACGCACACAGTCACGCACGGCGCACGCACACACACACACCACACAACGCGTGCTTCACATCTTCGTCTGAGTGTCAGGTGGCAGCACCGGGTAGAATGCTGATGGCATGTACTTCTCGACGTCGGTGGGCGACGGGGCCATGGCGAGGTTGTCGTGCAGCTCGTCGCCCGATCGATCCTTCAGTATCGGCTCAATCAGCTTGGCAACCCGCTGCAAGAATAAACAGCCATTAAAGAACACCGGTGGGTTAACACATAGAAATAATATAGATAGACTATATCTATATATCTATATATCTATATATCTATATATCTATATATCTATATATCTACATCTATATATATATATTATAGATAGTTATCTATATTATTTCTATGGGTTAACCGACCGCACGGGTTTACTCTACCGAATTTACGTTGGCGAATTGGCAAGTTGAACCAATTTCGCAATTCGGCAACTCTGAGTTGGCGAGGATAGAACATGTTCTAATCTCCCAACTAGTTGCTATCGATCGGTTGGTCGCGCAACTTTTGCGTTTACACTGCCGATTGTCGGTTGTATAGTTGGGAAGTTGGTTCAATTCGGCAATTCGCCAACACAAACTAAGTCGGTAGTGTAAACCCAGCTTAATATATTACTCCAGCACCAATAGTTAGCAGAGAAGGGGTGGGGGAGTGTTAGTGGGGGCTGTTACCCTCTTAGGGCCGTAGATTTTGGGGGGGGGAATTTATGACTCAAGTGTCACGTGTACTGATGAGCGACGGGCGCAGCTCTTGATCGACGTCCATAAGCAATGATAGTGTGGTAGGGGTGGGTCTGAGAAAAGGCTTTCACGGATAAGTGACATTAGGGTTATTTACGATTATTAGCTAAGCTTATCTTTAAATTTTGCTGCAAAATCTACTGGGGCGCAGCTGCCCCCTTGCCCCCCCACAGGCTACGGCCCTGCCCCTAATGTAGATACTATGACATGGTCAATAGCAAATGCCGAAAACTGCCCAGAGCAAACCGCGCATGACTTTATTACCCCCGGGGAAAATAAGCTAGGTGCCTACTCCGTGGCAAATATATAGTCTGCATGACACCTCTTTTGTGTGTTCATGCCTGGTATTATACTAGTATCTAGTTATCTAGTATATCACATAAGCATTTACGTTATAGACGCATGTCGTTTGTAATCCTATATGCATTCATAATAATGCCGAAAAAGAAATTGAATCGAAAATCAGATTGATTACAGCCATGTGTAGACCGAATAATTCTGTCCCATATAACCATAAGGTTACCCCAATAAGGTTACCCCAATAAGGTTACCCCAATAAGGTTACCCCAATAAGGTTACCCCAATAAGGTTATATTGGACAGAATTATTCGGTCTAAGCCATGTGCAGATGGCACTCGGGAACTTACGGTAAACGCCTGAGGCAAATTGAAATATACCGTATTTACTCTTATATAAGATGCATTCGTGTATAATGTCACACCCTATATTTTGCCTTGAAAAGTTGGTACAAACATCTGACAAACATTGGACTCACCTCGGACAAAGATCCAGATTCCCTGAGTAGGAGATATGCCATTACGATCGGTATCCACAAGATGGAGGATACCGCCAGTATCCAGCCAATCGCGATCGCCCACTGCGGGTAGTAGTAAGTGCCGAACGGCGGAGGTCGCTTGTACGACAGCTCTGAGTATGAGTACGCACTGAGTGCAAACATCACCTGCAACACCCCGTAGACGTCGTTATGACAACCGTCATCTGTTATCATGAAAATCGTCATCTGTCGTCATGGCAACTCTCGTCTGTCATCTCAGCAGAAACTGTTGTGATGATTGCAATCCCAGTTTGTGCGGCTGATTCCATACCAGAGGGTTTCTCGTGTGGCGAATTAACCGAGCTATTGTTGAATTTTTTAATGTTAGATGCACTGGCACGAGCATAGAATACTGTAGCAACATATATATGCTAGTAACAGCCTCGATTTCAGCTGGTAATGTTGAACGCGTGGATGAAGAAGGAAAGTAACAGCAAGAGTTCAATTAATATGCAGGTACAGTAGGCCCCCCCTACGCACGTTGGCAAATATATTCTGTGAGTGATTGTAAGCATAGAACTAGTCATGACTTACGAGACAAAACAAAGGCGTTATAAACATCCAGCTAATCTTCATGTAGGGGTTGATGGAGTATCCCAGCATCTGGTTAATGTCGCCATAGAAACGTTTGACGCCTGAAACAATGCAAAACAACCTTGTGAAGAAATGTTGATAACGAATCCAATGTGCACGGCGATGATATCTAGTCATATTAACCTAATCATCCAGCCACTAATTAGCCCTTAACATAATATGTTATCTCTTCTATTCTCTTCCCTCTTCTGCATTTGCTTCTCAATGACTCCCTCTTCTCTATGAGGACAAACACATTACATTTACGTTTACATTCATGAGTGCACTTCTATCACGTGTTCAACGCGTTCATTACGGGGAAATTCGAGGTTATTTGGAATGTAGGAATATTCCGGAACCACTCATTATAAGTCATTTACATTTATTTACATTTTATTAGTCTTGCCAGCAAAAACTACAGTATACAAGAATAAATTCCCCATTTTTACAACATCAATAGCGACCGAAAATGTTTGTTTGGGGAATGCGAAAACCGAATATGCAATTTTCGAAAATAATCACATCTAATTCTAATAATTATCTACTCGATCTCCTTTTTACTCTATGCGCGCGTAATTGGGTTTTGAATTTACGTGAACACGTTTACATTTACGATCGCCAGCAAGTACATTCTACCTTGGAGTAATCATTCTGAATGATTACTCCAAGATTCTACCGATCATCAGTAGAAACCGCGGCACGTTCCTGTCAAGGCTGCTGATGCGCATGCGCACGCACACGCACACTGTCAATAGCCGAAAAGGGCGAAAACTAATTAGAAACGAGGGCTGCGCTGTGAAATGATAAACACGTCCATGTAAAGGTGCACCCCGCAGCGGCAGCGGCTCCACGTAAAATCAGTAACCATGGATACGAGTAATACAGAATGTCTACAGATTTCAGAATTTATCTTCGCGATCGTTGCCATAGCAACGGTCCTATCTGTGCAGCATGAATAGGAGCGTGCAGACGTATGTATGTATGTGTATATATATATATGGCTTGAACGTGAAGGAGATTACAGCATTGCCACTCAGTTATCGATGGGAACGGGGTTTATGGTTGCATGTATAGTTTACAGCTAGGCGCTCATTATGCCAGCATTCGAACAAACATTCACGATGCACGGCATTTCGCTCTCCCCCTCCAGCACATACATCACCATATAAGGCAAGAAGCATGTACGACACGCATAGGATCTTTTCAGTGGATATTCACAAAACATAACGCCGCCATACTGCGGTCCGCTCAGACTGTACACGCACGCACACGCACGCACGCACACACACGCACGCACGCACACACACACACACCACGCACGCACGAACCGCACGTACGCACGCACACCGAACGCGCACGCACGCACGCGACGCACACATACACATACACACACACACACACACGCACCCACACACACACACCCACGCGCACAAACACACACACCACACGCCGTACGCACGCACTCACGCACACGCACACACACACACACACACACACGCACGCACGTACGCACGCACACACACACGCACGCACGCACACACTCGCACCTTACGCACACACGCACACAAAAAACACCACGCACGCACACACACACACACGCACGCACGCCACACACTCGCACCTACGCACACACGCCACACACACACACACACACACGCACGCACGCACGCACGCACGCACACCCCCCCCCCACACACACACACGCACATATATATATTATATATATATATATCATATATAAAAGAGAGAGATAGACTATACATAGATATATATGTGCATATGTCACACGTCGCCACCTACCGTAATATATGAGATGACAATACACTCGCACATGGCTTGCGCACCAGCAGTATGATGCGGCTTCCTGTATAATTAGTCGAAGATCTGGAACACGTACATTCCACCCTGCCGCAAGAGAGCGTAGACGTTAGAAGTTAGTGTAGTGATATATGTTAGTATATAAGCTAGCCATAGTATCAGTACGCGAATAACAAACAAAATTATATTGCTATTATTATTATTTTCTTTATATTTATATGTATTATTTATTTATTGTATTACTAGCTGCGGCGTACGCCTGCGCTGGGTAAAATCGTTGCTACTAATTCATACTACTATACTAATAATGCGACACAGTAGGAACATTGGGTAAACATCGACAATGACATTGCCCACCAATATCAATATTTGAAATCGGTCTAATAAGATATAAGGCATGGGGAAAAACTGTTACGTCATGACATTTATATGACAGCACAACCCAACTTAGAACACCTGAGACATAATATTAATAGTAATATGGCTCATAGGGTCTATGTCCCCCAGGTATACCCGGCAACGTACCCTGGTGGCTATTTGATATGGTTAGGTCGTTAGGGTTCGAGCGGTTGGGCGCTTAGGAGTAGGCGTAGGCGACTCCCTAGACTCGTTAGTGGAGTAGGCGACGGTACGGTCCGTCGCATATTAGATAGTACCAGGGCTAGCGTTCCGCGTATACCCCACCGTAACCAGGGTACGTTCCCGCAGTATCCCGGGGGGGGGGGACACAGACCCTCTGAGCAGTAATATGGAGTAAATGACAAAAAGCTATTGTTATATAACAGCATGTACGAATGGGTTGGACTTTTCGTTTCAAAGACTTGATAAACAATGTTTTTCGTGTTATTCTCTGGTGCAAATATGTAGAGATTCGTGGCGTATCCAACTGTTAAGCTCCCCACGTACAGCTATCCATTGTGAGATCGTACGCCGAATAAAAGAAATTCCATATATAGTATAGATAGAGACAGGCCAGCGAGTGGGGTCTGTGTCCACTGGATATTGTCTAGTGAATGTTGGCGTCAAACCATGCACATTGAAATTAAGAAATTTTTGTATTGAATCAGAAAATGCATAGCTTTGGAATGGTACAATGCATTCTCAGATCGTAGCATCTGAACCGAAACTCTGAACTGAGAGTAGTAGTAGTACCTCTGAACTGGCGTGGCTATGCTCTGTTTTAGTTTGATTTCGGTTTCGGTTCACAATACCAGCAGTGATGAGATCATGAGGTGAGGGCAAGAAAATCAATAGTCATAGGCTGTGCTGACATATGTGTGAAGATTGCGAATTGCAGCGGTTTTTCACGGATTTTTCGCGAGCTTTGACGTTTGACAGGTTTTTTTCAGCTACGAACACGCCGGGGTATAAGAGATGGACCTGCTGAAATTGCATCCAGATCGCTTGCGGCAGGTTTGACCGCCTATAGGAGATACATACATACATACATACATACATACATACATACATACATACATACATACAACATACGAACTCAATATATATTAGATTCACTTCATGATAGCATAGCGCATAGTAAGTGCCAAAGCGGGTACAACACACCACGATAATATTTGTGGGTGTACACAGCCGTTGTCACCACACACACAGCACGCCAGGCACGCGCACGCACGCCACGCACGCACGCACGCACACACACACACACATACACGCACGCACGCACGCACGCACGCACGCACACACGCACGCACGCACACACACACCCACATACACACACGCGCGCACACATCAGGAGTACATAACTGGGGACGGGGCATCAACGTCATTGCCCTGTTATGTACTCCTGATATATATATGTGGACACAGCATGCAGCATCAACAGGATATACGATAAGGTTGTTTGTTTTCGTTGTATGAGTTCTTGAGGATTAGTAATGTCTATATGAAAATGCTATCGCGACATGTGTGCACGTGATTGGCATCAACGTAGGAGCCTAGCGTGCAGCCAATTACCTACGTGCACACATGATTAAAATGTTATACGGCTTCGTGAAACCCTAGAAGATCTAATCAACCAGACAAGGCGGATATATTTTTGTTAGTCAGTAAATAGCATATCTGTCAGTTACGTAACACAAGCGTATTAAGCTTCTATTATATCTATTACTCCATTAGCACGGGATATTACCAACTCCCGGCCGTCATACTTTCGTAATGACGAATTCAAAAGAGTAAAACACGAGATGGATTGAATCACCATGACATAAACACACTGCACGTCTGTATTTAATCTAGAACATCACGACGTCATAGCTGTGCGTAAAGCTTTTTCCCCACACGATATCAACAATAGCAAATATACAACAGCAAAGAGAGCGAGAGCTTGAGACATCGTTTGCTAGAGTAGAAATATGAGGTGCGGCAGTGTTGGCATGTGCCTACAGCTGGATTTACACTGCCAACTTTGAGTTGGCGAATTGCCGAATTGCCGAATTAGAACATGTTCTAATCTCCCAACTAGCTGCTATCGATCGGTTGGCCGTGCAACTTTTGCGTTTACATTGCCGATTGTCGGTTGCGAAATTGCGAAGTTGGTACAATTCGGCAATTCGCCAATACAAAATTGGCAGTGTAAACCCAGCTGTAAGCTAGTTAAGTAAGCTAGTTAGGTAGTTGTAATACCGTCGAAGGACGGATAAGTAAATATCTAGGAATAGCCTAATGTTCTGGTTGGCATATATGACCAGCTGTGTAAAGTCGTAACGCGGGAATAGACAGGATAGAATTAGGCCAATTATAGACGTAGCATGTAGTACGGACTGACTAGAAACAATAGGTAGGCGTGTCTACCTATGGCAGTATATAACCGCGTGTGCGACCAGAGAGAGAGGACAGAGCGATAGTGTAATAGAAATACAGGCATCTTGGTTAGAGACAGCGACTGACAACTTATATACCTCGTAAGTTATGTGAGGTTTACTCGCGTACTACACTGTACGCATTCGCCACGTTACGGGCGGATGCTAGATAAAGTAGTGTCAATTAAAGTGATTCATGAATACGTCATACTGTGCGTTATCTATCATTCTTACATTCGTTCACATAGATGCTAGCAAGGGTGTATTAAACACACTCACGCGTAACCACTAATACGATCACGGGCAGCAATAGACCTCCTTACATAGTTAGTAGTTAGTAAGTAGTTAAGCTGTAAGATGTAATCTACCTCTGTCACCATACTGAGGCCGACGAAGAACGAGAAGATGCAGACGACAGCTATGAACAGCTCGCGCTTGCCTTTCTGACGCAGTTGGCGCGGGTAGAGATCCTGTATAGCTGTGATGAAGCCCTCTATACCAACAAACTGAAGCCAGAATCACGCGTCAGAATGATGTCGACGCTTAAATTGACTAGGTCACGAATTTTCTATGGTGTATGTTTGTAAAAATTTTGTTGCAATTTTTTTACTTTAAAAGTAAGTACTAACGCCGTTAGTAGGCCCTACTTACTTTTAATGTAAGAAAATTGCAACAAAATTTTTTTGTCTGTTACGGGACTAAATGTATCCTCAAATTCTTATCTGATAAGATTATTTCTCAACTATATAGTTAAAAATACAAAAAACCTGGACGATTTGATATTATGATCCTGACATTAATTGCTTGATATGGGCTATGTATGAGTCACGAGCGTATGTTTACATCGAACAATATAGTAAAATAGGAAGTATAATGCAGCAATTTAACCATAAAAAGTTAACAGAATTACTTACATTTTGTGAAAAAGTGGACATGATTTTTTTACCTTTACTATTTATGGTGACGTGATCACTTTCACCAGTAGCAGAAACTCAACACACGTTCGCTAATACTGCTAAGACTTAATTAATACTGATAAGACTGCTAATACTGCTAATACTGCTAATACTGCTAAGACAATACTGCAGCGAAGTTCTCCTACATGTATACATGCAGGTTAATATTCATTCACACACCTATAGCCTCTCTCCACCGTGCCACACCCCCCACGCGCCTAGCTAACCCTGCTCGTGTACCTGCATGCAACCATTAGAGTGACCTAGCCCAAACACCTGGCTATACTCGCTCACACACCTAGCTGCTCACAAATCAGGTTATCCACCCAAATACCTGGCTAACTGCCCAAATCCCTGGCTACGCGCCCAAATACCTGCCTACCTGCCCATATACCTGTCTATCTGGATGTGCAAATACCAGCTAGGCTACCTGCCTAAATACCTGGCTATATACGTGTCCAAATTACCTGGCTACATGCCCAAATACCTGTCTACCTGTCCAAATACCTGGCTCCCCATTCACGTACCTGGCTGTCGAGTCCTAGCAGTAGAATCATGAAGAAGAACAGTACAGACCAGAGCGGCGCAATGGGCATCTGTGTTAACGCCGTCGGATATGCGATGAACGCTAAACCCGGACCTGTAAGCAGAATAACAGTTAAGATGGCTGCCTTAAGACAACTCGATCCTTGCAAGCAAAGTAACAAGATGGCTGCCTCAGGACAACTCCTTGCAAGCAGAATAAAAGTTAAGATGGCTTGTTTAGGACAACTCCTTGCAACAGAGTAACAGTTAAGATGGCTGTCTTAGGACAACTCGATCCTTGCAAGCAAAGTAACAAGATGGCCACCTCAGGACAACTCCTTGCAAGCAGAATAACAGTTAAGATGGCTGCCTTAGGACAACTCTTTGCAAGCAAAGTAACAAGATGGCCGCCTCAGGACAACTCCTTGCAAGCAGAGTAACAAGATGGCCGCCTCAGGACAACTCCTTGCAAGCAGAGTAACAAGATGGCCGCCACAGGACAACTTCTTGCAAGCAGAATAACAAGATGGCCGCCTCAGGACAACTCCTTGCAAGCAGAATAACAAGATGGCCGCCTCAGGACAACTCCTTGCAAGCAGAATAACAAGATGGCCGCCTCAGGACAACTCAAATAATTACTGCCTGCTCTCACACTCCTAAGAAAGTAGGCCTATCCTGCTTCACTGAGATCTGGCTATCATTATACAGTCAAACCTGTGCACGAGGGTACGTCACTGAGGAAAATAACCAAAAACTGTTCGTTAATGTAACATATGATAATTTACACATAATAAGAATAATGGGACATGTAAAAACTCTTAATTATCCTACAGGTATCTGTTCCGTTGCAGTAGTTTTATCATATACCTCCCAACAGGAATTTTCACTCTTCTCTGGTGTCTGTTTTATCAGGAGCGTATAATGACAAATATATTTGTCATTATACGCTCCTGGTTTTATTAATATCTCTTAGACTTTGGCCACCACTCATTCCTCAAGCTACCAACTAACGCTGAAGGGGTCGTTGTCGTATATGTAGTACTCGCGGTGTCGGCGAGTATGTCGCCTACGCCTACTCCCTAACCCTAACACCCTAACCCTAACCCTAACCATATCAAATAGTTACCTCGGGTACATATTATACGCCATTATACGACAACGACCCTTCGTGCCCAACTAACATAATGCATATAATTTTTTGGACGTTTCTGCTGAAGAGTACGACACAATTGTCCTTCAAACGGTTTTCTACAAGCAGCTGTTTATTCCATAAAGGTTTCCGCTAACGCAGGTTTGAGTGTAGAGGGTTCACAACATTACGCAACGTCACACGATTAAAAGGCAAGCCCGCTGTTATAATTTGACAAGTTTTATTTAAACTTGTTATTACTGAACAAACATCGCAAAACGTTACACGATTAAAAAAAAAACCTGTTATAATTTCGCAAGTTTGATTTAAACTCAATATGGAACTTGGTCCGTGTGCGAGCCAGGGGCGCTAACGCTGAGCTAGCGACACTGCTGCGTCGCGCATGCGCACTCACCAGACTCGGCGACGTCGGCGACACTCTTTCCCTGCTTGCCTGCCATGAAGCCAAGCACGGTGAAGATGACAAAGCCAGCGAAGAAACTCGTACCGCTGTTCGTGAACGCAAAGATGATGCTATCCCTGCAAGGCAGCAGCCGCACACACGCACACACAAGCATAAGACCAGGGTCCTTTTATAAATAATATATATCAGGAGTAGATAGTAGGTAATAGGAGGTAGATAGTACCCATTATCTACTCCTGATATATATATATATATATATATATATATATATATATTATAGAGATGTATTATAATGTATTATATATATATATGTATATATATATAGATATATTATATATATATTATTTAAATATAATAATATAGTGCGCATCTAGCACCATCATCATCCGCATTAATAATTATCAACAATCGATCATTAATCAATAACTAATATGACAACGGTGTTGATCACGTCATCGTGCGTACTTGTAGGAGTTGTGATGAAACTTGTTGTAACTGCCCAGAGCAGTCAGCGTTCCTAGCGAGATGGAATAGGAGAAGAAGATCTGAGTTCCAGCATCGACCCAAGTCTGCGGAACACACAACCCATACTCTGTTATAGTCGCACATCCCAAAAGCAGCAGAACAAGCTCAGGCGGTCCAGGGTTGCGCGAAACAGTAGGACCTTGGAGTAATCATTCTGATCAGTCATCTGTCATTCTGATCAGTCATTCTGATCAGTCATTCTGATCAGTCATATAATCAATCATCTAATCAGTCAGAATGATTACTCCAAGGTAGGACAAAGAAACACAAATACGCTCATAATACAATGATTTATTGAAAATGGCACGACATTTAAAACGTAGGCATTTATCGAATCAACAATTATGCCACCCGTGAACCAAACAGATCATGGCAGATAAGGAGATGTAACAAAAAAATGCTGTTATTGTAACATTAATATAAACTGCCGGAAATAAAGAAAAAAACCACATCAACAGATAGTGCAACCTAGCTTCAACCGAAAACACACAAAACTTGAATAACGCGAACACTGTGTGCTTTCAATATTATTATTGCCAAAAAGTGTTTTACTGTTTTATATTAGTAATTACAGACAGATATAAAGAGAAGACAGGAGAGATTGCGTATGTGAGAGAGGGATAGTGAGGGAAAGAGAAAGTAAGCATGATGGGAGGTGGGGAAAAAAGCGTGTGCGCGGGCGTCTGTGTGTGTGTGTGTGTGTGTGTGAGTGTGTGTGTGAGAGAATGCACGGCACATACACATCTAATTAATGACAGCTCTAATTAATTAAATTAAGAAAATAACCTTTGGTACTTATTTTCGAGGTTTATGACAACCTCTTTCACGATAATCAATTAACTCATCATCAGCTAGCAAATTAATCAAGACACGCCAATACGAGGTGGATCAGAGGAGGAATAGGGATTACACCTGCACTGGTAATTTTAGAATATATAATATTTAATATGAATATATATATATATATATATATATATATATATATATATATTCGAAGTGATCAGATTTTATTGGACTGCAGCGAAGTTTTTTTCATTGTTAATTGCAGTGGTAACGCAACCCTCCCCGTTATCACCTCTCCAGCCAGCGTTCATGAAACCTAGCCATTTATCTCTGCTTACAATTTTCCTTAGATCCACACCCTGGTACTGACATACATACACTTAGCTAGATATAATGCAAACTAGCATATATCTAACGCGCGTCACTTTGACACGGAAAAAGAACAGCACGCTGGCACACACTACTTACATGTGTCTTCGGTGAATGCGAAAGACATTTGATTATTTCATTTCTACACCCAGTTTACACATTTCTCTCGTTTCATATAGGCGACGTAATTTAGTCAATGCCGTAACAACAACAACAACAACAATGGCACATAGAGCAACAAGCAGGGCACAGTACACTGCTGCTGGTGTGCCAGGTTAGTTCACATTAGAACTACGTTACCTGTGCACAACGAACAATATAACTCATCCAATCCCACGAAAAAAAACGATGAATCCGCCACCCACTGACGCTGCGGCAACGTTAATCTGACTATACACTTCACCGGTGACAAACAGCATGCAATGTCCATCCTAGCTAGCTAGCCAACAGGTCTTGTTCCCTATACCACACCACTACAAGCTCACACTTTCTGGCTAAACTTATATCTACATATATATATATATATATATCTATATATATACGCATATATATATTATACGCATATATATACATATATATATATATATATATATATATATATATATATGCATCACATGCGGATTCGCAACTCTATATGCACACGTAGACAACCAGCCGCTAGTTAGACAAACGATGCCAACTTACTAAGTATGTTAAACATTCTATCTAAGTCCTAAAGCCGGCCCCAAAGCATTATAACAAGAAATGACCCCTACCTCCTTCCCTCAACGCATGCACACCCCGGGCAGTATAGCTGAGAGGGTCTATGTCCCCCAGGGTACTGCCGGAACGTACCCTGGGTACGGTCCGGTATACCGGAACGTACCCTGGTACTATCTAATACTATCTAATATGCCGGACCGTACCTCGCCTACTCCACTAACGAGTCTAGGGAGTCGCCTACGCCTACTCCCTAACCCTCACCCTAACCCTAACCCTAACCATATCAGATAGTTACCAGGGTACGTTCCGGCAGTACCCTGGGGACATAGACCCTATTAGCGGCAGTATAGCACGCCACATTTAGACGCGTTTTAACGTCTAGAAACGCGACGTTTTCGTTTCAGCAAATACCAAAAAAAACACGATTTCTTTTGGCAGAAACGGACACAACAGTTACTTTTCGCTCTTAACTATGGAACATAAATCTAGAGACGCAATAGTCTTTAAACGATGCTACTCATCTCTTTTCTATTCTCTTATTCGATCGGATAAAGTTTTTTTTCTGGGAATAGGGTTGAAGGAAAAATGCCACTCCCCCTTAGCACGCCATTTAGATATCATCAGAAGTAGATAATAGGGAATTATCCCCTATTATAGGGAAATATTAAAAGGGGGGAAAAATAATAGGGAATTCCCTATTATCTACTTCTGATATCATCATGTTAGTCAACACACACTGCGCATACTGCACTATACACACATCTCTGGATAACATCAATACGCCGAATGCCGTCCATACCTCAATCTCGGCCAGTCTTGTTACGTTGGGTTTTAGGTAGAATATGATGCCTTCCTTTGCACCTGGCAAGGTCGCCCCACGTATGAGCAGGATTGCCATGAACACGTAGGGGGCCGTGGCTGTGAAATACATCACCTGAGGAGAAAACACCACGTTTCGTTATACCTTCCCGCGCCACACACCGTACAATCGAGGTAACAGAACAATAACTACACGGAAAGTAATCGAATAAGCATGATTAAGAATACAAGAATGAATTATTTGTAATTCTTAAAAGTAGTTCACCGAATGATAGATTCCGCGATGTCAGGAGATTAAGTACCACATGCAAAATTAATACATCAAATACTATACATTATTTATGATACGGCGAGGAATCATTTGTTAACCCAGTTCCTGTGGGTCTCATCCAATTTCCCATTTGTTCGTGTGCGTATTGGTCGCGTATTGACGGTATTGGCTAAACCTCATCTCACGAGAATATAGCTATCCGCGTAAAGCACCAATACAAGCGTCTGTTGCATTGCCACCTGCGTGCGTGTATAGCGTATGGCATGTTGTTTGTGTCATAATT